GACTTGAACGATGAAAGATCAAATTCAAAGATCTAGTTTCAAATTTACCTTCGCTTTATGTCAGTTTTGCATCTGGTACCTGAACTTTATCTATAACTTTCAGGTTGATTCTACAGCCTGTTTTTTTTTCGTTTTTGTACCTTGTTTTGTAACATTCATACAACTATTATCATATAATAATAATATTATTATTATTACTATTGTTGTTAATGCCAAATATTATGTTACACAAAAAAGATCACTACTACCTTTATACAATAATTTTTTGGTCTATAATTACATCTGATAAAAATTATTCCAAATTAGAATAGTACGTCAGAAGTGTCACATTGACATTTGACATGGTTTGAGGCGCAACAGTTACATAATTTTGACATTCACCAGTGGTCATGTTCCGGAACTCGACCTCAATTAGACGAAGATGAATTGATGAAGGTATCATTTTGATTTGCATTATTAGTTATTGTACACTTTTATTTTAAGTTTTATTTCGAAAATTTATTAACTAAAATTACAATATTTTTGTAATAAATTCTCCCATCAATACAACGTAACATATTTGAAAAACAGTTTACAATTAGTAACTTGGCACTAATTCGTAGTGCGCACAAATAAGAATCAAGCAAAGTATGACAAGTTATTTCGAAAACCACTCATTTATAATAACTTCATATTCTGAAAAACGGATTAAAATTACGGTATTACAAGTAAATATAAAGAAAAACAGTAGCATTAGAAGAGTGCACAATAATATACAATTAGCAGAATATGATAAAACAAGAACAACAATAGCAATGATAGCAAAAATAGAAAATAAAACAATAAGACAAAAAAAAGAAACAAGTTCCATATGATGACAAAAGAATACAAAAACATATATCAGTAGAAAGTTCACATGAAAATTAGACTAACATAAATTGACCTTAATTAATAAAATTACAAACGATTTGCAAAATAAGCCTTTTAGCTTTTCACTTTGTTTTCATTTTCTTTTTTTTTAGTAAGCTATTTTGTCTTTTCTTTTTTTATTGGTTCGATTTCCTTTATTATTAAATTTTTTTATTTTTTATTCAAAACTTCTGCCACCTCTTTTGCTTCAATATCTTCTTCCAAAAAAACTCTTCTCCGATTGCAAAAAAGGCTCTAAACAACCACGTGTTCGTTCTTCTTAATGTTTTCAATTTCTTCGTCTCCATTTCTGTTACAGCAAGGATATCCCGTTAGTCTCAAATCAGCTGATCAATCAATCTGAAATAAGAACAAAATATTATGTTACACAAGAAATGAGGTAACATGAGGCGTGTAATAATGTTAAGGGTAAAAATTTCATCATGAAGCCTTCACAACAGGTGACATGAAAAAAAAGGAAAAAGTAGCTTAAACCATTTTCAAAGAAAAAACAAAAAAAGCTGTACCTAGATTTAATCCGAGAATAGTGAGAGCTGATGGCATGTTTGAATAATTAGCATTTCGAACAGCAGCTTAAAAAATTACATCACTGAGTGAATTATAGCAGTGATTATATAGTGATAAGCAACTCATTGATTAATAAATTCATATTTGCAAACAGATATATTCACTGCTCTTTCTGTGTTTTATAGGACATTATTTGAGCGTATCAAAGCGCTTTTCGCTCACTGAGTCGAAATTTTGTTTTTTTTTGTTTGAGATAAAGTGCAAGGGTCACTTCAAGTCTTGATTTTTGTAATATTAAAGCTAACCTGAGCAAAATTACTTGATAAGTGTCCTGCGATGACTGGCCACCTTTTTCTTTAAAATAATCTGGCAGGACACCAACATCTGAAGCTCGAAAAGCTCCATGTACTGTATTAGCTGCTGCTTCTTGCAAGGCTGGAACCGGGATACGAAACCATCTGGTTTCTTCTGCAAATTAAAATGGAACTATTTGTATCATGAATGCATGAGCAAATTTAACCAAAACTGCTCATTTATAAAAAATAAAACCTACAAGACCAGCACTTGCAGTCTTTCCCTCTGCTCCTTCGTTTACCATTACTAAAATCCTGGTAACCTCGGAGCTCTGTTTCTCCCATCCAGCTGTGATGATAATTTGTATTATTATCATCATCAAGCTTAGCCCATGTCTTGTCGTTTCACTATCATGTAATTTCGGTCGCTGGCGAAACTTTTTTACTCTCTAAAATAACTTAAGTAGTGAATATTACCTAATTTATAACAATTAAACGATTGCAGAACAACTACTCCACATTTCTCCATAAAAGCCTCGAGAATAATAGTTCTGAAAAGCTGAGAATTAAGAAGCTACACAAAAGGTTAATAATTACTTTATTCATGCCAGCGATGTATCTATCATTGGAGAGCCTGATGTATAACTGAAGTGCTCTCCAAATATTCCAGACCAGCCGAAATATTACCATTCAGCTGACTGCTTCTGCTTACCTGTAATAAAAACATATCTTACTTTCAATAATTAAGCGCTAGACACGTCACAGAGAAAGCTACGAGCAAAGCACGCAATTTCGCTATTTGCAAAAAAAAGCTACTTCATGGCCATAAATCATTTTCAGTGCAGTGCAAAACAGCGACGCACAGTGCGACACGTATGCAACACTGACAATGACGAATGTTACACTGCAAGCACTCACTGATATCAATAGACAACGTTCTTTGCATAAATGCATTGTGCGACCGAATCTGTCCTCTCTTCAGAACTCGTCTTCTCTGCTGTACCAAACACATTCCTCAATGGTTGCCTGAGGTTTTCTGTCCCATTCATTCACTATTGGCCACACTTCGCCTCACACACCGTAAAGTTCGACACATTCAGTACTGTTCGCAAGTCTTACCCTAGTTTCATAGTGTAGAAGTAAATCATTGACTACCACACTTACAAACTGCTTTTCTTTTGTACTTTGCGCCTCAAAGATTGATTTGTGCTCATTTCCGCCTGGTCTGTACAGATTTTTGGTGCAAAGTAAGCATAATATATTTCTGTCATGAGCATTTTATCTTTCCATTCGACATATGGTGTATAGTCTTATATAATAAAGGGTTTTTAGACTTGGCTATGAATTATTAGACAAAAATGATTGCATGAACTGCCGAGTGTTACACTTTCATTTCATCTGTTTCTTTGAATGAAAAATAATCGGAATTTTGTAGCAGTTGAGAATATGTCTTGTTGCTACCTTCACTGCAATTGTATTATACAATAGAGCAACAAGTTTTGTGCTATCTCAGCTACGCTTGAGTACTTTTGCGTCACTGATCATCACGTATATTTACTCGTATTTCCTTTTCATTAAGTACTCATAAAGCAACAGAAAATCAGTCTCATAACAATTACCTGACTGGTGGCTATTTGCGCATGAAATTATCATTGTTTATGTGGTTAGTTATCGTGACTTTTTTATGGCTAAAATAGATGATTATAAAGTACAATAAGCGCTTTTTTTGTGAAATTTGCATAATTATCTTAATCGCGATGAATTTTTCTTGCAGATCTTAATTTAACGTTACTGGTTTTAGTTGGTCTTTGGTTACGGTGGTTGGTTATGGTTATATTTGAATTAAACTATTTAGTTTCAAAGGCTTAGTTGGAAATAATAACTATTCTTTGGTGATATTCGTCGTTTCTAAAATTATTATAGTTTTATTTGTTAAAAATAAAGTATTTTGCTAGTAAATTCCTATTGTAGCCAATCAGTTCGGTTATGTATTTACACAATTTGCGCCAAAAAAAGTTAAATTTAATAAAATCTTAAAAATTTAAAAAATCGCAGTACAAAAGAAAAACATAATTTCTTGTAATTTTCATTCAAAGTTCATATTCTGCAAGCATCATATAAGATATTTTAGTTTTGTATACTACAGTAATTCTTTAAAACTGAGATACCTTAAAGTGGAATAGCTGTTTACTTTCCACTTGGTGAACTTATTAGTCAGAAGAAGTAATAGTGAAAATGATATGCATTGGTATTAATGATATTGGTGAAAATGGGATTGAAGCAACCATAATGAATGAAATATTAATAAATAATAATAATAATGATCATGGCGGTAGTCAATGTGAAGGGAGATGATAAGAGTAAAAGTAATAATGAGAATGCCCATAATGTAATGAAAATGATGGTTATAGTAATAATGATAATAGCATTACGGTTATAAATATAGAGCAAACTATTAAAAGTGCTAAAACTACAGTATTTCATGATGGTACCAAATAATGATGGTGAGTTAGTAGAGTTAACAACGGGGAATTATAAATAGGGATAGTAAGATTTTTTATAATGGAATACGCTAGCAGTAATGGTGAATTACAGTTGTACAAACAGTAATGAACACAGAGTACAACCAAAAACAAAAATGATGATATCAACAATAAAAGTAGAAATTATTAATCATGACGTGATAAAAGTTAAAAATGATAACAATAAAGATGACAGTGAAGATAGCAAATAGTCACAAGTCAGAAAAATATATAATTATGAACAGAAAATACGATAACAACAATGCTAAATAGTAATTGGTGGTGATAAAATTAGTAAAAGATATCAGCAACAATAGTAGTCATAATCATAATCGTAATATCAACGATAATAATGATAATAATACTGATAATAATAGTAAGGAAGACAATTATAATTTAATATAACAATTCACCAAGTAACAACATTCACAAAGGTCATAATTGTAATAATGGTAACATTATTAACTGTGAGGAAGAATTTTTTACAGCACTTATGATAAAATGTGACATGGTTTTGACAAGAATTTACATGTTACTTTAATTTACAGAATGGAAGCAATTTTTCATCTTACATATGAGTAATTTAGAAAAAAAAGTAGAAATTTAGTAATACTAATTTGACATTGATGTGCTGTAATTTGCATTTTTCAGGAAATTGGAAATAAACTTTCCTCGGCAAAAGTCTAAGTAACTTAAGACTGAACATTTTAGAATGAAGACTGTCTTAAGACGACATTTTGAGAAGAAACTATTTATTTATCCAAATTTATTCCTACAATTATTTCTTGCTAGACATTTTTGTTAATACTGAATATATATTATAAATTGCTAAAATTTATGTCTTTAAATTTATATTACTGACAATTTACTGACAATATCCGGAATACACTCAATTTATTTCTATATCAGAATATGATAAAAATGATTTGTTTTAGAATAAAGTATGTGTACTACAGTACCTAAGTATTTTGAATTTACAATAATTTTCGAAATTGTTAGCTAATATTACTGATGTGGGAATGATCTCAAATGGTTGGCTTTATAAGCAAATTTTTTAACGAAACTTTTTTATATTAAAGTTTCTTAAGCTAAAGTAATTAAACTTTGAGGATCAAATTTTTGCAGAACTTTTATAGCAGCATGCAATACGATTTACATTAATTTTTGGTACTACACTGATCGAATTTCCTCGAAGCCTTTTTAATTACTTTTCAAATGGTGTGATAAAAATGTTTTTATATTTATCAGGCTTGTACTAAATATCTTTTTACCTAGATTGTAATCCCATATAATTAAACTTTATAGTTACTTTTATTAAAGTTCACGCATAGTCTTCAATTATTTTTTTAATTTACGCTGGATATACATTTTACCATTTGTATGCTTTATTGTCGAAAATTCTCTTTGCGGTGACAAAAATATTTTATTACTAAAAATGAAAGCAAATTTTTTGGACATCAAAAAAAAA